GAAATTAGCCACACCGCCGACATATGCTGCACAGTGTTGATATTTTTGAAGCTCATGAAAAGCTAATTTTAGCAAAAGGAACTTGCACAATGCTATCAGTTAATCCTCCAGCAGAGGAGGAGAAATAGCCACATGCATAACCATAAAAGCTGGCATTTATTTGCTTTCCAAGCATCCTTCTAGGTCTTGCATTTAGTAATGGGTTATTACATTTAATAATCCTAAGTAAGTAAATGCAAACAGTACTCCAGCAGATCTTGGAGATATCAACAAGGAAGACTTTGAAATATATTTCTACTGAGAGGATGGGTTCTGGCTTGCTGTTCCACCTTCAACCCTCAACCACTGTTTCCTGCCTCCTCCCAGAGTGCTTTGACAAATTAACGTTTAATCTGCGTTGATGACTGGGGCGAAAGTCATAGAGAGCTCTGATTTGAAGGGTCACAAGCATCCAGGTCAACCGCATGGTGACAAGAGCACTGTGTGACGCCTAAGTGCTGTGGCTAATTTACCGTTCCATTGCGCCTCATCTCCTCTTCCTGAAAATGGCAGAGGATCATAAAAGCAACAGAAAGTGACCTTGAGCGTGATTTCCTCTCCAACATGGACATTGCTCCTCACAAGGAAGCATTATGGCTCAACTGTCCCAGGAAAACAGTGTAAAGTTCTAGCACCACACCTCAGCAAAGGATATGATCTGTGGTGGAGAAAGTGCACAAAAGATTACTCCAAATGATCAGGGGGTTGGATAGAAGTACATTTACAATACTTAACAGTTTTTTGTTCTTAGAAAAAATGGTGAGTAAGAGGGGACACAGATGTAATTGTGAACCACTCCTGTGATTTTCTTGTCCAGATTTCTTCAGAGGGGGCTTGCCTTTGCCTTCCTTCTTGGCTGAGAGAGTGTGACTTGCCCAAGGTCACCTAGTGGGTTTCCATGTATGAGTGAGGATTTGGACCCTGATTTCCCAAAGTCCACAACACCACACTGCCTCTCCTTGGGGTTTCTGAACAAGATTTATTATTCCAATTAAGTTTACTTGTTTCCCTCTGAGGCTGAGAGAGTGTGACTTGCCCATAGTTATCCAGTTAATTTCCACATCTGAATGCAGATTCACTCTAGTCTACTGGAGTCCCAGTCCACCTCTCAAACCATTACACCACGCTGTCTCTTTTATAAAAAAAGTCCTGGTAAACAATAGTTTTCCCTTTCGTGATCTGTTTTACAACAAACCAGTCAATCTCATTCATCCCAATTTGGATGATTTAGAATTCAGAATCAGTGCTGGACCATTATCACAATTTCAACCCCACTTTAACTGTCATGGCTCTGTCCTGTGAAATCATGGGAATTGTAGTTTGGTAAGGCTGTCTGCAAGCTAGCATATGAAAGGAAAGCTAACATGGCTTTGCATGTGGTAATCCAAAAAATCCTTCCATCTTTTCCGTTTGTGTATCCTGGCCCTAGGGAAATTCTTCTGAAAGAGGAAGCTGACACTGTGAAGTGTGCATGGCATATTTTGTTCCCTGTGATGCCAAGAGACTGGGAAATGCATTATATAGCAAGGGCTGGGGAAGGGTTGTTTGCCTTACAGGAAGCTGTAAGTGACCAACTGATGCCCAGAAGTTTTGATTTCTATCAAATTAACTAGCTTCATGTAATTTTCCCGGAATCACATGCACTTTGCAGTAACAATTTGGCAATCTTGGCAAACTAAATTAAAAGTGTACAAGCTCAAGTCTTGTGGCTCCCATTCTGTTCAGGTCCTAGTTCATTGAGGTGGGGGATAGAAATGCATTTTTCCCCTCTAAATGAATTTGGTTCCTTTCTTCACCAGGCCTGGTGAATTCTTCTAACTTCTCCATCAGTTACTGGAGAAGGAAAGTCCCCTTCAACAGTCGTTTGGCAGAGTGGATTCCATAGGAAGAACCAGGGCATGTCAAGTGGTGTCAAACTGCTGTTGCTCACACTCTGTAGTGCAGATATACTCCAAGAAAGCAGACTTTTAAATGCATCTAAAGTCTTTAGATGCATTTACAGGTGCTCAAAGTGTTGTTTTGTGTGGCTGATCGCATTTTAAATTCCTGTTTGTATGATGCACACAGTATTTTGCAAGACTGTGTGTGTGCATGTGCGCACGCATGCATGCACATGTTCGGAGAGAGAGTATATTTTACTCTTAATGTAATATATAATATGTGTGTGTTATATATATATATATATATATATATATATATATATATATATATATATTACAGTAAGAGTAATTTTTGCTGTCACATCAATAAATAGGAACTTATTTAGAGTTCTCAGCTGGTCCAACATGAGGCCAACTTCAACCAGAGTTCAGGGCAATTATCTAAAAATTAATTGTGTTCATCTCACACCCCTCAAAGTCCACAACAAACACAAAAAGTCCCTGTCCTCCCTGTCCCACCATTCTTGCTGTGACTGACAAGCATCCCTTAATATCATATCTAGAAGGGCTATGAGGTGCTACACAAACATTAATGTCAGGTCAGTGGAGAAAATAAGTTAAACTCCTCTCTCTCTCTCATTCTCTCTCTGCCAGTTTTAAGTTAAATGTCCACTGCTGGACATTTTGGACTGTGTTATCTATTCTACCAGAACTCTAGTTTAGAAAAGTTATGTAATAATAACAATAATAACAATTATTATAATTAGGATTAGGATTACAGGTCCCAGAATCTCATACTCTCCAACATTTTTCAAATGAAGACTCCTCACACAGAAGCCAACTAT